AGGGGGCCTGAGCCCCGCCGCCAGCTCCGCCCCCGCGCCATGGCGGCTCGCGCGCCCCCCGCCGCACCTGCGGCGGAGGACCCTGGGGGTCCGGCCGGACCCCTACGCAGGAAGAAGTCCCGCTCCGGTCCGTCCGGCCTCCGCCGCGCCTTCAGCTGGCTGTGGGGCAAGAAGCGCAAGAAGAAGGCAGCGGGGGCCGAGGGCGCCGAACCAGCCGCCCCCCGGGCCAAGAAGGCAGACGACAAGGGCAGGAAGGCAAAGGGCAGAGGCCGAGGTAAGGCGGCTGGCACCTGGGCTGGGCGCCGCGCGGCGCCGAGGGTGCGGCCGGAGTGGCTTGCTGGGGCTCCAGGACGTGTTGGAGGAGGGCGACTCCCTAGGTGTTGCTGCTGGGGGTACAATGAGCCACGGGATCCGCCCAGGCACTCCTGCCCCCTGCCACCACCCTAGAACTTCCCAACACAGTCTTGCCCCGCTTTCAGGGGAGGGGACCCCCGGCTGGGCAGGGATCCCCTGGTTTAATCAGGAAGTGCTGGCAGTCTGGCTGGTGGGGCGGTGAGGTAATCCTCCTCCCCCAGGCTCATCCCAGGTCCAGCCCCCTGCTGAGTCAGGGGGTCAGAGACTTGACTGGTGCGGGGCCAATGGGAGAGGCAGGTGGCCGTGGGTGGGTCTCTGGATCTGGAAAATCAACTGTATTCAAAAGGGGTTTCAGACCCCTAAGTGGGTCTGATTTCCAGCCCCACAGAGAACCCAGCATGGAGCATAGAATGCTTTAGATTCTTAACAGTGCCAGCTTTTCTTACCTGGCCCCCCTCACCACTCACCTGGGCCAAACCACAAACATCCATCTCCTGGGGTGGTGAGTTCACGGACTTGAACCATCCGCCGCCGTGCCCCCCCATCACTCCATCCCCCAACCCTGGTAGAACCCACATAAAATGCTAGTGTTAGAAGTGTGCTTACAGATGAGGGAAACTGAGGCTAAAGTAAATAGAAAGGCTGTACCTGGGCTGCGGTGGGGACTTAAGTAGGAGCCTCTGGGCTCACCCCCTGGCCTGATGGATGGGCAGCCTGAGGCTGACCTGATCCATCCCTGCTGGAACCACTTTTCTTTGGGCCACTTGCTTGGTTCTCTCATTTTCCCCTTTGTTCCCTGCCTCCCATTGGCGGGGAGAGGGCATGAGGCTCAGCAAGAGGGTGGAGCCCCCTTAGGGCTTGGTGTCCCCAGCAGTCTACCTACCTACCAGCACTGGTGAGGAAATGGCGTTGTGTGCAGGGCCCATCCCGTGACGCCTATGTTTACCCTCCCAGTGTCCTTTAACCACCTCCTCTGGAGAATTAGAAGGAACACTTTAGGGGTTAGGAAGAGGGTGAAAAAGCCTCTTGCGTGATGGCATCCAGCCTGGTCTTCCTTTTGGAAAAGGGCCCTGCTCCCCTGCAGCCCAGATACAAGTAGAAGTCTGGGTGCTGGGGCTGGAGTGGCTGGGCCAGGCTCTGAGTGGGGTTTGGGTGAGGGGTTCTGCCCAGGGCTCTGCAGTCCCCACAGGAAGTGGAGTCTGGCCCAGGGTTGCCCCATCAGTCTGAAGTCACCCCCATCTCATGAAAGAGGGATCGCATCAGAATTGCAGCAGGATGGATTGTGGTCACACTGTCAGGATTGGCAGGCAGAGGGCTAGTGGAGTACCCCAGGGAGTGGACCCTCTTCTCCTGAGAGAATAGTCTGGAGGCAAGGGGCTGGAAAAACTGACCTGAAGGTCCCTGCTCCAGCAGCCTGGATTTGGGGTCATTGGGTCAGTGACGAGGCCTCCCCCTGCCCTGTGTCTGGTATCGGGTGGCACTGGGCTTTCTGGGCAGCAGGCTGGCCTGATTTGAGCCCACGTGTGTGGGTAACACCTCCCTGCCCCTGACTGTTGTTTCCCCAGGTCTGAAGGAGACCCGGGGTACGACTGGAGGAAGTCCTGCTCCCTTTTGCTCCAGCCTCCCATTATTCCAATTGTTTCCTTGTCACCCGCCTAGCCCAACTTCTTTTCTGTTTGTTAAGAGAAATAAATCCGATCTCTCTAATCTCCGCTGGCACCGCTGGCCGGGAGTGAAAGCTTGAACAAGGCTTAACTCTTTCTGGGGAGAATGTTCAGAATGGAGATTGGGGAAGGTGGGGGTGGGTGGGGGGATAGAACATTCCTGGGAGGCCAGGGGTCCTTGGGGGAGATCGCTGTCCAAACTGGGATTTAAACCCAGATTATCTGCCTCCAGAACTGGCACTGGCTTCATGACTCTCCCAAAGACACAGAGCAAGGGGGTAAGGCTTAAAGGTCTTATCATCCAGCCCACTCTACAGATGGGAAAATTCAGGCCCAGAGGGAAATGAGAGAACCTGATAGAGCAGGAAGAGTATCAGAGCCAGGCAAATGGGAGTTTAAATTCTGGCTCAGCGACTAGAAAGCTCTGTGACATCAGAGAAGTCATTTCCTTTCTAGGGGCTTGCTGATTGCATTACTGTCTCATGCGGCAGAGAGGGTACCTTCTCACAAGGGTAACCCTCTGGCTGGACATTGTCTTGATGGGTCTGTGACCTTTCTGTCTCTCCAAGATTCTTACAGAGAGGATGTGAAAATTATATGAAAGTGAAGTCACTCACCATAGATATGCAAGCAGTTGCTATTATTGTATTTATGAGTTTAATCACCTGAACTCTAAGGACCCTGTTGGGGAAAGAACTGGGCTGTAGTCAGAACAACTTTGCTGCCCTGGTCTGCCCCTTTCAAGCCACATGACACAGGCAGGTTTCCTTATCTGTAAAATAGGGGTAATAAATCCTGGCTTTACAGGGGTGTTTCAAGGATCAGAGGAGGCCCTGGTGGTGCAGTGGTTAAAGTGCTTGGCTGCTAACTGAAAGACTGGCTGGCTGTTCGAACCCACCAGCTGCTCTGCAGGTGAAAGACGTGGCGGTCTGCTTCCATAAAGATTTACAGCCTCGGAAGCCCTATGGGGCAGTTCTACTCTGTCCTATAGCATCACTGTGAGTTGGAATCGACTCAACAGCAGTGGGTTTGGTTTGGTTTTTGGTTTTCAAGGATCATATGAGATAACAGACATGTAAGTACTTTGTGAACTGTGGAGCATGGTCCAGATGGCAGCAAATTTCTCCTATTGTGATGCTGAGGGCCTGGGCATTAATTAGGTTCATCCAGATTGATGTTTAGAAAACAACTCACATCACATATCAGACACTGTGATGACGATTATCATTAAGGGGGATCACAGAAAGTGGAATCTTACCTTTGTCTGATGGGAGGACTCGGCCATAAGAAAAAGTAAAAAAACAAAACAGGAATCCATATTTTCCAGAAATACCAACTGGAATCTAGACAAGTTGTGGGGAGGAAGTGTTTCTGGGAAAGATGCCAGGACTGGAGCCCGGGAGATAACCAGGGGAGGCTTTCTGGAAGAGGTGAGCAGAGTGCGGGAGGAGGGCAGGATTCTGGCTGATGTGAAGGAGAAGTAACATGAAGGCTGCTATGTGCCAGGCATTTTCATCAATGTCTTCCTTTGTCCTCACAACAATCTGTGAGGTAGGCAGTTATCACCCTTTATACCTGTTGCCATCAAGTTGATTCCGACTCATAGCGACCCTGTAGGACAGAGTAGAACTGCCCCATAGGGTTTCCAAGGAGCGGCTGGTGGATTCAAACTGCCAGCCTCTTTGTTAGCCAAGCTTTTAACCACTGCACCACTAGGGCTTCCTATCACCCTTTATAGGTGAGAAAAACAGGCCCAGAGGGTGAAAGTAAGTTGCTCAAGGTCACTCAGCTTCATTCATTTGAAAAAGATGTATTATCTACTATATAGTGCCAGGCACTGTTCAAGGTGATGAGGACACCTAGGGACAAGACAGGTAAGGTCCCCGCCCACGTGGAAGTGATGTTCACAGCGGGGCAGTGTCAGAGCCACTTGTTCCGCCTCCAAAGGCACACTCCTTCCAAACAAAACAGTGTGATGTTGGATGTGTTTCTGACTATACCCAAACCAGTTGCTCTAGAGTCCAACTCATGGCGACTCCGTGTGTGTGTCAGAGTAGAACTGCACTCCATAGGATTTTCAAGGCTGTGAACTTTCAGAAGGAGATCATCAGGCCTTTCTTCTGAGGCTCCTCTGGGTGAGCCTGAACCACCAACCTTTTGGTTAGTAGTCCAGTGCTTAGCTGTTTGTACCACCTAGGGACTCCTTGTTTCAGACTATGGAGGAGATTAATCACTGTAGAGTCTTGGACAGGATAAGCTCAGGGACAGGGGGCAGGCATCTCTCCTGAGGGTTTCTCTTGGGCAGTAGAAGGTGTCCGCAGGGTGGGAGTGGGGATGGTTCTGATACTGAAAATTCAGAAGCGAATGATCTGTATGTGGCCTCTCTCTACACTGCCAGACCCAGCAGACTTAACCCCATGAGCTCACTGGACCCTCCCCAACTTCCCTCTGGCCACTCACTCAGGGAGGACTGTCCCTGACCTGGCTTGTGGAGAGACACCTGATTCTGAGCTCTGCTCTGTTTATGACCTTGGGCAAGCCCTGCCCCACTGTGGGCCAGACCTGCCCTGTCTTGACAGAAAGGGGGTTTAATGGTCTCTGAGACCCTTTATAGTTCTAGGATTCTCTGGGTTTGAGGATGGGATTGAGGAGCTAGCTGGTAGGGGCTGGGAGCTGAGCATGGGGCTGGGAACTAGGTCCAGGAAAGAAGAGCCTACCTTCGGTCAGTAGAGTGGACAAGACATTGGGACCCAGTGTCCTGCATGTTATGGGGAGGTGGATGAGGAGAGACCAGCAGGAATGCTACTGTTTCTCCCTGCTGAGTAGGGGCCTGTGTGGCTTTAAAGCCAAGCAAGGACCCATAGGCACTTTGAGTACCAGGCATTTTGCTTCTCAGGTCAAGATGGTGTCTCCCTGCTAAGAGGCAGCTACTAGGACTATTTACCTTTCAATAAACATGTCATCTATTTTCTCATTCTATGCCATTGAATGTGCTATCCTTCCCGCTTAGGATGTGTTTCCCTTAACTTTCATATGTAGTAAACTCCTATTCAAGCATCAAGGCCCGGCTCCAGTGTTGTCATCTCTGATACTCCCAGGGGAAATAATTCCCTGCAGACTGTAGAGCGGGGTACTTAAGAGAATTGGAGTCAGACAGTATATGTTTCCCTGGCCACCTTCTTCTTGCATAGGGGCATCTCAGTGTCCTCACCTGGGACCTGGACCAATGTGATGAGGGCAGGGTCCCTTCTACTAT